TGTGTGTGTGTGTGTGCATCACTCTGTCCGATCTGTCTGATGAAGTTTCATGGTGAACATGACTGTTACTACAGTCTGGCACCTCAGTGGGGGCTGACACTGTGTGTGTGTGCATGTTAAAACTGCTAGCTGTCAGCTACATGAATTAGCTGTAACTGTGTAATCTACATATTAGGAAATAAAATAACTTCTCTGTTCTCTTGAGGAGAGCCAGAATGATCTACTCCAAACTTTCAAAGGCAAATATTATATTTTTATGCCGATACTTTTGTACTTTTGATGCCAAAGTCGCAAGTTTTATTCACCTGACTGAAAAAAGTAGTCAGGAAAACTTAAATATAGGCCATTTAAAGGCATTTAAAGAAATGACTAATGGCATCTTTACAAAGTGACTTGTTTTAAAGGTGAACCTTTGTTCATTGGGCTTATCTTATGACTGAACTAGTTTGGACATTTGAATTAATTTTATTCAAATTAGCAACATTATCTACCAATGCAGTTTCATTAAGACATCCTAATAAGTCTTTTTTTCATTTTCAGTATTAACGGTGCTATTAGGTTAAAGAGAGTGGACACAATATGATTTGCAGTCTTTTCCATTTTCTTCAGCGTGACTCTTCTAACTACATAATCAAAAAAAGTCAATTTAACTGTCAATAAAAGCTGAGTCTGATTTAAACGTGCACGACATGCATCAGGATGAGTGTATGTGTGTGTGACTGCGTGTACGCATGATTGAGAGGTACCTGACTGATTGATTATGTCTTAGGAAGTGTGTGTGTGTGTGTGTGTGTGTGTGTGTTTGAACAAGTGTGTGAGGAAACTATTAAGCACAAAAAAACATCACCTGAGATGATAAATGCGTCTTGCTGGACTGTCATAGGATGCTGCTTTAGGTCAAACTGGAAATAAGGATTATGGTTTTTGGAGTAAATGTGACACAAGAACCAGACTGTAGTGCTGCAGATCCATTTTAGGTGGAGCTTTTGGTTCACCAACGCTGCTGAAGGCATAGTGAATTGTCATGTTAGAGGAACTTGTCCAGGTTGTTACACTAAAAGCTAAAGTGGTGGGTGATCAAACCATCAGAGGGGAACAAAAGTACACTCCCTGAACCTCCATGTTGGCAGTTTAGGTGTAATGTAATGTCTTCACCCCACAAAACAAACAATCATCATCTAAAACACCCTCCATAGCTTCCTGGTGTCAATTACATCTTTGTGGGTACTTTCCACCCAAATATTTAATGAGAAACTGAGCATGTAACATTTAGGAAGGCTTTAATTATGTAATTTAGCTAATTCATGACACCCTTACTTTAGCTAGCACAGAAAACAACATCTGGTTGATTAAATGATGACTGTTCATCCACTGATTCTTTAGAATTTCTTTTACCAAGAACACAGCTGTAGTGCTTTAAAGGACTCAGTGGAAGTGGTCCTTGCTTTGTTCAGCCTTCCAAATGATCTCACTATTTTCTATATCTGTGTATTTGTGTATCTTTTGCTGTGTAATTCACATCTACACAAAACTACCAATCACACTGTGAATCACACAGGTTACTGGGATATTGGCAGCACCTGACTGTGGTCTGAGGAAGAAAACTGCCTTACAGTAACTCACAGGGGATTGCAACCAGTCGTGTGGGGTATTGATGCAAATGCAAATGGCCCTCTGGTCAGAGAATTTTGAAAGTTACTAAAATCAGCCATAGCATGAACTGGGAAGGGGTCAAAGTTGTACACCTTCCTTATATGGTATCTTGTTTATCTGCAGAGTCGGAATAAATGGACCAGGTTTTAGAAAAAATCTAATATTCAGATATTAAGTGCATGGAGGGATGTCATTGGAACTAACAGGTTCCTCCAATGTGACAACAGGGAATTACTAGCTTCATACTGGCTAATAACAATCCATCTACCCTACAGCAACAGAATGAGAAAAGTTTTTGACCGAGCAACCAAAACATTTATTAATAAGTTTTACGGTTATTGACAGTCTGCCGGAGGAAGATCCCAAACATCTTGTCTCTGCACATCTTCTTTCTGTCAAAGCGTGGGTGTGGGGGGTTGGGGGAAATTGTCAGCAGAGGCGGTTCCTTAAATATCCTCAGTGTGTACCGTACATTTGTATACATCAAGTCTTTAATATGTGTGTGTGGGAGGGGAGGGGAGGGGGCGATGTATACACTATATAGTGTGTACTTTTGCGGGTGGGTGTCTGCACTGTTTGTTGTTTGTTCTATCTGCATGTCATCTGTGTGTATGTACACCATATGAGTGTGTGTGCATGGAGAAATTCATTTGACAAGGTTGTTCTTTTGTTCCTGCATAGTTTTGATTCCTTCTCACTCTCTCTCTGTCTGTCTCTCACACACACTCGAACGCACACACTCAGCCACTTCTTGGTGTGACGCCCAGATTTGAAATGCATAGCGTTTCTGTTGCTTTTAATGGAATACCACTGTATCTGCCTCGAGGGAAACGTAAACCTAGTATTCCAACACTGGTTTCCAAATTGATACACTCACTTACTGAATGCACATGGCTCTTTCTTCCCCCCTTCTCCTTCCTACAGGCTGTTTTGCTACTTAAATCTGTACTGCACCAAGGAAAGGCATCAGCAAGTCGAGCGCACCGTAACAGTAAACACAAACTAGTGTCAAATTAGCATAACCCAAGGTCAGAAACAATCATTTCCCAAGACCCCACAGATCAATTTTGTTTTCGCAAACGAGAAGCGAACCGAGAGCCGTGCGCATGTCCTTTCCCACGCCTTCCCCGAGTGAATACTCGCCCGGGGTGTTTGCTGTAAAACAATCATTAATATTCATGGTGCAGAACATACACACTAGTGTGGGACTGAAGCTAAGCAAGCGTTGCATCAAAATTTATATTGTACAACGGTAGGCTGCCTTTGTTCCTGCGACGCCCCGTGGGGACTGTGGGAGCCTGGCATAGCGGCGGTGTGAAGCACAGAGTTAGAATGCAGAGGAGGTACTTACGATTGGGCTGGCATTGATGTAATCACAGTTGCCTTGGCTGTTCTCCACCTTCAAGGTGATTCGAGAGTGATCATCTGGAACACAAATGGAGAAATTCAGCATGTTTTGTCTTAAGAATTCAAGTGCTCAGTGGCTATATTACATGCATTGCAATTAGGTATTTCTTTGCATATCTGTTGAGTATAACAAGAATCTCACTGTAGCCTTGATGTAAATCTCCAAGTTTCCATGACCTTAAGAGTTCACTACCTTTTGCTATGTCAAGGTTGTTTTACGCTCAGGAAAGAACTAGTTTCATTTCAGGGATTAAAATTCCCTGATGTTCTTTGACTTTCCTTCGAGAATTATCAAGTGATCCCTGACTTTCACTGTCTAGAAGACACTTCTAACAATTCCACACCATTCCAGAAATTCACCAAAAGTCCCAGATTTTAGGCAGTCATCCAGGAGTAAGTAGTTGATTTCAGCAGCCAAGAACTAAGAATGGACAAATTCCATCCAGCTTTGCGAGACTCTGCCCTCCATCATCCCTGGTCTATTGAATTTTTCAGGAAGGACACATTTTCCAAGTTGTACATTTCACTCCAGCAATAGTGGCAAAAACAGTTCTGAAAATATTTCGGAGAAGCCAGTGGTGCTTCAAATAGGAAGCACAATTTATTCCTGACAAACTGCTTTCCCTGCTGACAACCTGGATTTCATTAAGCCCATGCCCGGTGGAGAGAATGGGACAGCACTTTTTTAGATGGGCTATTTCCACAGAAGCTTAGAAATTTTAATCATTGATGAGGTCGGTGCAGGAGAGCTTTAATAGAAAACTAATTTACAACCCTTCTGCTCACTGCATCTGCTCCTGGTTTCTGATAATAGAGGCCGGGCTCAGAATATACGAGGAGTGTTGTCGAGAGGTGGTGATAGTAATGCCACTGCGTTTGGAGGACTGTCATCAGAGGTGTAACAGCTAAATTTGAGTTCCAATTTTTTTTTTTTTTGCTCTCCATCAGTGAGACAGAGATACTGCTGTCTTGTCTTTACATGCCTCTGGCTGTTATCCTGCTAAATGTACTGCTCTTTAGTTAGTAGTTCAGTAGTTTTGAACATGTTAATAACAGTGAATACTTTGAAGATATCAACAATGAAGAAGAAGATTACAGGTTGAAGGAAAATTTCCCGCACAGCATATACTGAACTTTACAAGAACAAAAGCATTGCTTTGGTTCTAGGAAACTCATTAAAACAAATGACATAATGGATTTACAACACCACCAGCCGACGTAGATCAGTTTTTGAAGATGATGTACACCTAACAATTGAAATGCAAATCATTAAGTTATCTGTCTTTGAGTCCAAAGATACCCTGATGATGGTTCTAGTAACAAAAATCAGAAAGCTGTTGAAGGCCAGTACTGATATATTATGAGCTACAGATGTTAATGTATTGTGCTGATTTCCAACTTCTGTGGCCATTTTCATAATGAGGCTGAAGCTGATAAATTCAAACTAAGAAAACCGAGAGAGCTAAGAAAAGAAACACAATTTCCAGAGTTCATTACATTGCATTGCTTACATGCCACAACAGCAGTGGAGCGATTCTTCTTGGCGTTGCCATCCTTCATGCCAATGGTGCAGGCGTTGGGTTCTGCCTGGTAGGCACACAGTGCCTCCCACTCCTTCTCAAGGCGGTCCTTGTTCTTCAGGTGATCCTCCATGTAGGACTGAAGGAGAAGAAAGAGAAGAGAGAGAGCTGAGAAAACAGAGCTTGGCATACAACAAAGGGTTATTTTTATTGATGGGGTTGTATTTTTACACCAGTTTCATTCCCAGCAGATATCAGTATACGTTCATTTTAAGGGTGTCTTGTATTTGTATTTATCTTTGGTTAAGCTTGTCTTTATCTGCCTGAAGAACCAGATGGACACCTTGAAGAAGACAGTTTCAGTTGATTTGTCAATCACAAAATTTCACATATAGCCTGTGATTTTAACTTTAACATAACAGGTTTTCCTAAACTGTCTGGCAGGCAGTTTGTTTTTTCATCTCAGAGGAGCACCAGATGGAAATGCAGGTAACAGTTATTCTGTCAATCAAAGAAAAGTCAACCAAATGGATACTAGGGCTTTTTCCTGTGACTGTCACTCATTGTGGCAAATCCCACCCATCTGGTGTTGATGTGAAAAAGAAAACCGAGATAATACTGTTATAACCTGCTTAAAGCACCAGATGGGGGGAGTTTAGGTCTAGTATGAGCCTTGGAGCATCCTTTGTAGTGACTCCCCTCCCTCTGTTTCTCATGAAGAATCATCAAACTGTGCATGAGTTCCTGTGTGCATGTTTTCCTCGTTTTATTAGTTGAGCTGAAGCCATCTTAATCAGAGTGCGTATCAGTCTAATCTGTTCTGTTTAAATGATAACCAGTACCATCCTGGCCATTACCTACCATATAATATTCATAATTAAGGAAGACAATGTGACTTTGATCAACTGTCTGCAAATGAGCTTGGCACGGACGTCCATAGCAAGGACAGTGTGTGTTGTTCACACTAAGGCTAAAAGGTCAGCCATAATCTGATGGAGGTCCGTGTAGCTTTGTTTTTTTCTAGGAGCCTTTAAAATCAGCGGCCCATGCACACAAAATATGGATGGTATGATCGTTTCTAATGGATGAGGGTACGAAATGAGCTTGTGTGGTTCTTTAAATGGCTCCGACAATGATTTATGGTGGCAGTTACAAATGGGGACGATCTTAATCAGAATTAGCTTCCAAAAAAGGCCTAATGGCTTTCTGCTAAAATGAGAGGAGTTTGTTAAAAATGCAAGGCGACATGGCCAGACGTCCAGCTTCTGGAAGATGACGGAAAAGTGACTCGATCAAATAGATAGATATGTGATTTTATCATACATGTGCATGTCCTCTCAACAAACTCTACAAACATGCAGCTACTCAGGTTTGTTATTTGTTAGTCCATCAGAGAGCTTAACTGGCTCAGTGTGTAACAGCAAGCTTCATATTCACAGCTGCATTTTGTATAGCTGAAAACACACACACACACACACACACACACAGATACACAGGCATACACACATACGCTGGCCTTTACTTGCTGTAGTATCAGCTCTCTATTATATTTGCTTCAGAGCTGCTAAAAGCAGCAATGAGCCGTGAGCTACGACCCTCCACCTGCACACCGCCACCTATCAACAGCGGGGGGTCCGAATTCTTCAAAAGACACACACACACACACACACACACACACAGAAAACACACATAAAGAAAATGCACATGCACACATTTAAAGCACAATCCACACATAAAGGTTTTTATAAGGTCATATACACAAAAACACAGTCCACCCACACACGCTCACCCATATGCACTGCAAAGACACACACAAAGAAAACACACTCGCTCACACGGTTCCCAGTAAGAAACGCAAAATACACACTCAAACACACACACATGGCCTGGAGGCGCACACACAAATTCCACATACACACTCACAGTACAGAAACCTACTGACACACACACACACTTATATATATAATTACAAATAACATGCATACACAATCACACAAAACACATGACCTGCAAATATTCTAAAGATTCACAGTCCTACCGAAGACACACACACACACTGTCCTACATCAGATGCCCCCCACCACCCTCTACCCCCTACCCTCTCTCTCCCTCTCTAATGCCAGAGTAATAGGGTTTTGTGGCTGTGTAAAGGGATTACTGCAATCCAATCAGGAGGTGCTGAGATCACCATGTGTCGGCCAAACACTGAATAATCCCCTTACTGCGGGGGGGGGGGGCTTACAGCTGCCAAAGGTGCTCAATAAAAACCGCCACGCAATAAGACTCTGCCCGAGCTGCCATTGTGGCTGTGACGCACCATCTGAGCACCTGTAGGAAACGGCAGCATGAAAGCCGGCCGCATGGGAGGTGATGTAATGCGGCGGCCATTTTGGATTGACAGCGACTAAAGATAAAGGGGAAGTGGGTGAGAGACATCACTCTGTGCTGTTAGTCAGCAGGGTGGGGTTTTGAGTGGTGGAGAGTAACCAAGTATATTTATCAAGTACTCTTTAAGTACAACTTTAAGGTATCTGTACTTCTCTACATCAGAGGGAAATACTGGTTACTCCATTACATTACAGGTTTAATCTTAAATCTTAATAAGTATTATACATTATTTTACATGAAAATATGCAATAAAACCCCACATTGATGAGTGTACTTGTTAATGCATCAGAAATACTTGTGTATACTAATGTGTATTTGTATTATGTGGTACTTTTACTTCAGTAAAGGATCTCAATATTTCTTCCACCACTGAGGATGTCATAATGGCTACAGATGATACAAATGTTTTCAAAGGGAATTCTTGACATTTATCAGCAAAGAGATAAAGTGCAGCCAATAAATCTAAATGTTAAACTGTGTTTTTATAACTTTTGGTCCATCTTTGGACCCCTGTTCTCTCATTGAGTAACTTGAAGACCCCTGACTAATGATGACAGTTACAGATGCAGACTGAAAAAGATTTTTTTTTTTTTTTACAAATTCTGTGTTTTTTCCTCCATGACACTTCACCATTGTTCTATCAGTTCTTTGGTTGTTTTAACTACTTTTCTAATAGAGGATGAGGCTGTTTTTCAGAGACTGAAGGCTTTGTGAATATAACTTATGTTTAGGTCTTCACCGTTTTCTCTTTACTTTATATCTCAAAAAATAATATAATGTACATAAATAACAATTTCATTTGGTTTTTCTTCACATAAATGAATGAAATGCTGAGATATAGACTTCCTACTGAGTATATTTTAAGTTTTCTTACACTCCTAAAAATCAAGAAGGCCTCGCGACACCCCATGAAGCTTTAGCGCCCCCCATTGGTTATCCGAAGTACCACTGCAATAGACTAACAAACTCAAAGGAGAAAAGCATCCACGCACTCAAATCACAAAAAGTCATATTTATTGTGCAAGCTTTCCATCAGATACCTTCTTCAAAGCATAAAAGTTGCCTTTTTGCACAGATTTCAGTGTTCACAAGAACATTGATTAACATGTGATACAAACACCCCTAAAAGTATCAAGAGGTTCCTGAAGAATTTCATTCCTAAAAAAACACACTTGTGCTATTTTTGTCTGATCAAATTATTGCTTGCGTGAATCAATTCAAGCTAAGGTCTTCTGAAATTCAACAAATGAGTGTGTAAAGTGTAATCGATCATCATCAATCAACCTGCATCCATCCCATCGGAGGCTGCTGTCTCATTTCTAGTTAAAAGCTGACATCATCCTGAAACATGAGTCTAACTTTGCTGCAGCTGAATGCTTCCTGCTCCTCAACTGACCACATTAGAGTGATTCAACATCCATTTGCTGAAGCCCGCTCGTCCTCCAGCCCATTGCCCTGCGACCTATCAACTCTACAGATCACATCCCAGCTGGCCTCCTGGTGAGCTACGAAAACCACAACCACAACAAATTCTCAGCCCAGTTAATCTCGATGGAGGCTCTCGCTGCAGTATAATCTATAACACTTACTTGGCCAGCAACAAAAGACAAGATAATGTGCTTTATATATAGAGTCGACTAATCCTCTTAAGACACAAGCAAAGAGGATGTAGGGGGATGTGGCGGTGGCGGTGGTGGTGCGGGGGGTGCTCGGTCCCAGTCACATGGGACCAAGTAATACATTAACTTAGATAAGATGGTGAAAGCTGTTTCTCCTCAAATTAAAATCAGTGGGTGGAAGATGACATGGAATTTGCTCGGGTTTACGAGATGCAATTAATTTTTTGGGAGGTGGGAGGGTTGGTGGGAGAGGTGGGGCACTGCGGCTCATCAGCTATCACGCTATTCCTTTCTTTGACGCCCATGATTTTTATTAATCGTTCAACAGTTGCTTCACTCGAGTGCGTGGCAGGGCGTTAGATTAAATATTTGCTTTTCCATGGCGGGGCTGCGCTCGCCTTGCTTTCTGATGGATTTGGTCTCTCACTGTGACGCCTCTCTGAAATTTTTTTTTTTTAAATCCCTCGGCTGAGTTTCCCCCCAAACATGTCGACTGGGTCCTGGTTTGCTGGAATGAAACTCTGGTCTCTAGTTGACATCATGATGTGAATCTGAAATGAGCTCTCTTGTAAGTGTGAATATTTTTGTAAAACTGACAGCTAGAACTGCGAAAGGAAAATATGAGCTGTAACAAATAGGCATTGTTCCAAATTATGGAAAGAGAAATGACAGATAGGAAGGAGGAGGAGGAAAAGTACAAAAGAGAGTTAAAAGAAAAATAGCGAGAGAACAATGCAAAGAAACATGAAAAAATGAAAAACTAAATGGCAAGTGCAGTGAGAAAGAAAAATAATTGAAGAAAAGATTATGTAATTAAGGAAAAGAAAGAATGAAATAAGGAAGGGATGTAGTGGAAGAGAAAAGATGAGAAGAAAAGTGCCAAAATTTACTTAAAGAAAACATAAAATTAGCAGGGAAACTAATGAACGAAAGATGGAGGAGATGGAAAGAGGATAGTGGCTGCAAATCCATAAAAACCCCTGCCAAAGAGGATGGCCGGTGGGCGGGAAAACACATTAAATAGCAATTTCCCAGATTGTCACCGTTATGTGAAAAACTCATAACTCCAATTTCACTTCTTGCCATCTTTTAACTTCAGCGGAAGCTCTACGTGCCCTTCTGTAGACCTACAAAACCGCGTGACCTTCGAGCTTCTGAAAGGTTCCAGCGGAAGTATGCGGAGGTCCAGTGAAAAGCGAGGATGAGCCACTGACATTTTGGAGATATGTGGTTTCCACATGACAACGGCATTATGTAACTTTCCCTCTGCTGTCTAATGTGTCTGCTGTGGGAGGACGGGGACGGCCTGGACCAATCAGAGCTGTCCAAGGTGCTGAAACACACTTCCAGCTCAGTGTATGTATTTCTCTCTCTCCACACTTTCTCTTCCTTCACTAAAAAATCTAAAGGGGAAAAAAAAGGCACATAACTAAGAATCGTACATTATGACTTTCTGTGATAATGACCATCATGATTCCTCCCTGCTCATTCCCTTTTATTCCCTCGTTGGAATCAAAACATGGAGTTAAACATGCCATCAGCTTCTCATCAGCACAGTAGGCACCTAATGAAACCGGTGCATTTGGACAGGTTTCATGGCTATAAAAGAGGGCTGCAATTAAAAGGCTATGTTTATAATCTATATATCAAATGGAAACTGTAATGGATGGAATGGAAACTCCCTCCTGTCACTCGACTGAGAGTCAATGGATGTAGCAGAAGAAGATCAAAGCAGACATTTTCTATTGATCATAATTACTATGGCTAATAAAACATCGTCTTAAATCAGGCTCTAATGCCCCTCTCTCATACACTTACATCTATCGACATCTCACCCTCATACTGGGTAAAATACAGCACCTACGTATTAACCATAGAGGCAGGGGGAGAGACAATGAATCTCTCTCCATTGACTTGCATTGCGTGAAGTTTTTATAAGGTGTTGAATTGAAAACCTGAGCCAAAAGTGGCAGGAAGAACTGTGGCATCCTGACTCTCAGTATGTCTATGTGTGCAGCTAACTAAGCTATGAAAGGCCCGGTTCTGATCTTCATTACCTCCTACCTGGTGATTGGATCAAATAGTTGCAAATATCATTCACTTCTGGTCATTCAGTGGGATCATTTCATCAAGAAAACAAGGTAAGGAGGACGGACACTGAGACAGACCGACAATATTGAGTTTCCTCTCTGATTGACATAGGGAGCTAAAATACTCCTCTGACATGCTGGAATCTAATGTTTTTGGCTAGCTATAGACATTTTAGCCCAGCCCTTGGTGCGGATGGTTTTCCCCTCTGCTGGGCGTGCAGACGCTTCCCCTAATCTTCCCCTAACCATAACGTATCGCCATGTGCAGTGTTGAAGATATATGTATGTTATATGTTTAAAGAATGTTTTGCATAATCACCCAGTATCACTGTTCCTGTCTGTCCTCTGAGGAAGAAATCATTAACTGCATATTGTTTAAAGCATCTGAATATTATTGCAACTTAACTTAATGAGAAATTGATATTCTGTTCACTACATTATAATCATCATCATCATGACATGCCAGTTTACACGTCGTTGACAGCTTTACCATTAACATTCCCTAATTGTTTTGGGTCCTCTGAAGCTCACGCTGCTAAATTATTTATGTTTTTGTCTGCAGGAAGCTTCATTTTACTCTTTGAAGAGTTTTCTGAATGGAACTCACGCACAAAAGGAGCGGGGCACATAGTCGTATATGGCAATTTTAGAGCCATCGATTATGCTACTGATGAAAGGTGGCATTCATCAGGCTGAAACCAGGAATTTATTAAAAGTTTGTACAGTTAAGAGGGTTTGTTGAATCTGATTTGGAACACTTAAGCAAAAAAGTTTCTTGCGAGTCGCTTAGTGTTTTACAGAGCGGGAAATGTCTCTTAGAACTTTGTAGTTACTTTGAAGAGGATTTAAGTGGAATATCAGCATTCAAGAGGATATTCATGTCCATCACCTACACAAAATGTTATTAATCATCACGGCCACATCAGATGCACTCAGTCTCTCTTCTTCCCTCATATCATTTACATATTAGTGCCTATATTATAACAAATTCAGTAATCTCCTGACCAGACTGTGGCCCACACACCAAATGCATACTTAAAAAAGCATGAGCAACACTTCATTTCATTCCTCTCATCTCTCGAGTGATGCCGCCTCTGCTGAGATGGCTCTGCCTGGCGAAGACGAAGCAAATGTACCTGAAGAAGTTCAAACCTCGCTGTCTCCAATCTGTTTTCATCCACATGTGACCGAGGTGCATCAAACGCATGCATCCCATTCTGTTGTGGGTGCCTTTGCCAAACACTTTAGCAGGATTGCGCGTTCGGGTAAAACAACAACTCTCTGCAGCAGCGTAATTTCTCCTGAACACAACTCTGGTGCAAATCTCAGGGGTAATTAGTATCTTTGTGCCTATTGAACACATCAAAAAGCCCGCTCTGTCACATCTTGATGGCAGCTTCATAATGCATGGGGAGGGAGAGAGAGAGAGAGATAGGCGGGGGCGTGGGTGGGGGCGTTGGGATGAGGAGGTGGTACTGAGGGTGGTGGGTGGTTGAAGTGAATAGCTATATATCGCAATTACGACGGCGCTCGACAGAATGCGACCAAGGTTCAATAGAGATTTTCATCTGCAGGGTAGAAGAGTGTAAGAAGGCTGCTTATAGAAACTGTGGGTGTAATGAGATGTACAGAAACGAAACAAAAAAAAGACACAGGGAGAAAGATGAGAGAGAGAGTGAGATGAGAGGGAAAAGAGAAATGTGTGCGTGTGTGTGAGAGAGAAAAGAGTGGTATATGCGGAAATGCAGACGAGACATAGAGGTGGAAGAAAAACACTGTGGTTCCACTGGTTTTAAAAGAGATAATGGTTTTAAGGGGAAGAGAAGCAGGTGATGGGATGTTTTGGATAAAAGGGAAAATGAAGGAAGCGTAGAAAATGTCTGCTAGCTGTTTGGAAAGACAGACAACCGACCACAAAGGTAAAAAATACTGAGTGTCAGGGTGTCAGGCGAGAATATTACAGTGATAATGTGATTTTTCTTGCTATAGAGCAAATCCACCGTTTGAAAAAAAAGGTTTTACCTTCTTCAAAAATGATCACTGGAACTGAAATAAAGCTCACCTTGAAATAGCAGTATTTAGTAAAATACTTGTCATTTAAGGATGAACCTGATAATCAGCTCTTTCTTTTCATTGAATTATTTAGTCTAAACCAATTTCGGTTTGGGACTGGGGCGTTTTTTTGTTTTGCAGTGCCCTAATCGTTTAGTAGCGAGTGACATATTCATACCGCCAATGTAATTTTAAATCAACACCGCAGGTAATGGTTCCTGGGAGCAGTTATCTTAATGTTTTTCACGTTCAAAGAAACATGTCAATTTAAGACTCGCTGCATCCATCTCATGCATGCTAATCACCATTTCTGTGGCCATTTTGTGCCACAATTTTTCATGGATGTAGCAATTTTTCTGCCTCTGGCACACAAGATTTAGGGCCACATTCTTAATCCCGCCTACGCAGCTCTGATTGAGGAAACAGCCGTCAATGAACACAACACAAGACCTATTTGAAAAGCTGAAAAACTGGAGATCTGGGCAGCAGTTCAGAGGTCTGGAACCCGGCTATGATGCTAACAGTTTGTTCTCTTAGTCATTCCTTCCTTTTCTAGTATTCCACAAGGTTGGGGTCTGAATTTTAGTCAACCCCTTTCATCTCTGGATGTGCAATATGAGTGGGTGGATTAGATTTAAACGTTAATGTCATTCCTACTGATTCAGTCGGGGCAAAAAATGCATGAAATCATTAGTCATTCCAGGATTTTGTGTAAAATTGAAACATAGCCGTCAAACCCTCTTACAAGTCTTTGAATGTGTCCTTCAAATCCATCAGTTACAAGTTTTCTAATGTCACCAACACAACATCATGCCCATTAAAACTGATGTCTCTGGTGAGCAGGGTTATTATTTACTATTACAATATTTTGATTCAGTGTACATTTGGCAGTTACAAGATAATTACAAGAAAGTGACCCAACGGGAAACTCACCAGTATCATGTGACCAGTGGAGATGTCCATGTTCGAGTGGGCGGGCTCTTCACTCCAGGAGGAGATGCTGCTCCGCGCCGAGGGGCTGACGGCTTGGCCGCCATCGCTAAACTGAGACGACACGCTGTTGATCCTGGAGGAGATCGGCTCCGGGCGCTCAGTCGGGGGTTTGACCGCCATACGCTGCCGACAGAGCTCCTACGGGAGGGAAGGGACAGGTCAGTTATCGCTGTCACACATTTGGGATCTAGTGTTGTCGTAGCATGGCATAACCATTCTGTCAATGGGCATAACTCAAGACACCTGGTGGACACTTACAATGGCTTAGGAAAAAGTAACGGAGAGACATCACAATTTCAAGTTTTGAATTGTTTTTAATTGTAGAGTAGTGCTGACAATGATTTACTGCTTATGCAACAAGCCTCATTAGTTCTACTGACTAATGGGAAGTGGTAGGCTTTTACACCTCTGTGGGACTGTCAGGGTTGGGTCGTTCAGACTACCTTCCGAACTGATGAAGTGGAGAAAGGTCTGCAACTACAGATTTGGTAACCATTTCTGAGTCAGTGCAGAACCATAATCATGTTGATCACCAAAGACTGGTGAATCGTGTCTTCTTTATAATACTTATTCGTGATTATCTTTATTACTTTGGCTCTCTTTCTGTACTTGAAAGTTCAAAAGCTGAAAACAAGAAAAAAGGCCACTATTTGCTTAATAAACGGTTGTGAGCATGAGGGGTGGATCCAGGCAACAGAAAATGGGATTAATGTGTTATAAAAAGTGGTTGCAAACAACTGGGCAAGAATGGTAAACGATTGAAACTTTTCTAGCAAATGGCAGTTAATCTCCAACTGCTGTTATGCTGGCCCGCTTCCAGGATGTCAGTGGAAAACAGTGAAACAGTATGCATGCTCAGCAAGCCTTCCTTGGATAAATACAAACTTTTAGAGAAGGTTTTTTGCCAGTCAGTGTCTCAGCAGCAAATACAGTGTCTTCATTCATACATCTGAGCATCTTCTGTCTGGATACGTGACCACAATGAAATTCGACCATGTTTAACTTTCTCTCTACGCCTTCTCTACACAACTCCTAGCAGGAAGTTCAGTGAGCCACCAGAGACACTTACAAAGAGAATGCTGTTCTAAATGTATGACTACGATTTTGCAGCAATGCTAGCAGCTCTGTGAGGCTGTACTAAGGCTAACAGCATGCTATGTGGACGCAGTGACAATGCTAACATGCTAATGTTAGGCAGATAAGATGTTTAACATGTTCACTATCTTAGTTTAGTGTTTTAGATTTAGTCATAAACCAAAGTACCAAAGTTCGATGGGATAATGGTGCTAGATAAAAAAATTGAAGTGATTACAGTTCATCATTAAGGGGACATAAATGTGTGTAGCAGGAAACTTAATAGCAATCCATCTAATAGCTGTTGAGACACACCAACACTATTTTATCGAAAAATCTCAAAATAAAGAGCCAAGTGCAACGTTATTGGATCGGAAATTGGACACATTAGTCACAGGAATGCAGTAATAAAATTAATGCTTGAACATGGCAACATCCGGCATATTGTTGTCCATCAAAGGCTGTCTAGAATTACATGTTCAGTCTCTTTATGACAATTAATACATCAGTAATCAATATGTCAGATCAGTCCTCGTGTCTCTGAGTAAGACAATACATAGTAACCATTGTATGTAATCCCGAATAAGCACATCACATCACACCACAGCACGCAGTGTAACTGTGAAGTCAAAAGAACAAAATAATGAAGTTCACCCGTCACATGCTCTATATGTGAAACCATACGTCACACATATCAGCCTACAAGGGCTCTGACTGAACGGAAGACCTGGGCTGAATCTCTCTGGGAATCTGTGTTTCTTAATGAGAGAGACGCTGATGATTAACTAACGGCGTGTTTGATTGACGGCGGCGGTAATGTGAGAAGGCCTTCATTAGTCTGTATCTGATCCGACTGATATTCTCATAGGTCGGCGCGCTGACACTGATCTATGAGCTCGGACACGGACTCATAAATGTGTGCAGATTATTAAAGTGCTTCAGTACCTGGCCTGGGGATACTGACAGCGCTGCTGGTGGGAGGCAAGCACAAACATACCTGCATGTGAATGAAGAGGCTGTAGACAGATACTATACAGTAGGAAGCACTGAGCTATTCTGCAGCGCTGTTTTTATCATTTTTATGGATGTTTTAGTCCTTGTACTTCTAAAATGTCAGCGTGTGGTCATTTTCACCCATCAGCAACAATATTTAGAATATCTAAAGTCATTACATGTCGAATCTCACTTCTGCTGGGCTGTAGGCTGTCCAGAAGTCAGCAATCTTTCTTCAACAGATCAATGTTTCACATCCGATCATATTCTACCAAAATACAACTCACTGTAACTGCCTGGGTACTGCAGAGAAACACTTGACGGTGGACACAATTAAGCAACGTTTTTTACGATATCACTTTAATATATTCAAATGTTCGATTGATAGTTGGAGGCTAAACAGATTTATCACCTTTAATTGTGTTTCTATGGTTACAGATCTGCAGAGCTGTTGGTTGAAGCTTGTAAATCATCGTATCTCGTACTGAAACCATTTTAATCAATAATCTGTATCAAGTGATTAATTTCTTTAATGGTTACATGCATAATAACTGGATGAATGTATAATGAGGCTTTCCATTAGGACTTTGATCGACCCAGTTAACTCCTGCGCTGTTTCTGGTGTAATGAAAAGTTTAATGAATATTATTCCTTGCTTGAAATACGTTATGTGATATACAGCATAGTATGGGCTGCAATGTGCCTTTACACGTTTATGTGTAGTTCAGTTGTTTTATTTTGGTAACACTTTACATTAAGGTACACATGTTTACCATTAACTAGTTGCTTATTAGCATGCATATTATTAGCATATGGACTCTTTATCAGCCATTATAAAGCACTTAAGAATGCTTTATATTGCATGACCATATCCTACAACTACTAGGCCATTAACCAAGAGTTTTCCATCAATAACTTCCTAATTACTACCCCATTCAAAAGAGAGGTCTTGCTCCTAACTAAGCAACCTTAAACTGAGATCATTTAAAGAATAGTAAAAGATTTTAAGTCTTGTGACTTTGGCCCAAACTGAATATTACCGTAGTTATGAGCTCACCTCACTTTAGAATGGGGAACATATTGTGAGTTAGACACTCTTATCGCTTGTAGTTCTGTGTTTTATTACATAAGAATAGACCACATTTCTAAGAGTGAATGAGTACCGTAAAACTTAACTTAATAGCCCAGGCTTTTATTTCACTTGTTCAGAAAAGGTAGGACATATTATAAAACTGTTTATCTAACGAAGACTTTTGCCAACATGGACATGCTCAATATTCACCTTTATATTTTTGTAGGAGATCAAAGTGGCTTAGAACTCGCTCAGGTGGGCTTTAAGTTTTATACATCCAAAGAATTTCTATAAAATTCGACCAGGCGTCTAATTGAGACCTTTATTTGTTAAAATGTGAAGCCACACCAGGCACTTCTTGGGTTAAAGCTGCAAATATCTGATATTTTATGCCTTTGTTCACATTTGTATTTGATCATTTTTATTCCAAAACTTGAAATCTTGTCAGATCGGGAGGGGAAAGCATCTGAGGCATCATTTGGAGCATCATGGAACATTAAACATCTCTGCTAAGCCTGTTCTTGGCAAAAAAGATTAAATGTCACTGCATGGTTCACAGACTGTAGTCAGGAGAGGAGTTTCCGTGGTACCAGAGGTGGATCCCACCAACTGGCCAATTTCTGATGTTTAATAAAAGCCAAATATTGGCCCCATAAATTGGTCTAAGCCTTCTGGCTGTTATATACACCTGGTTTCTTGTCTGTGTGTCAGTGTTATATCCTTAGCAACACAACATGGAGCCCAATCAGCACAAGGCACTGCATTGTGGGTGTTTTGTCAGGGAGGGGAACACATGATCAACAGCATTCATATTTTAACAAGCTCACACGGTGAACTCTGCCACAGCAGCAAATTCTTTTATGATGTAATTAAAACAGATTCAAAATGGCTTCCCCCCGAGAGCCAATTAGAGGACAAAAAGGCAAAAAATTCAAGGAACAATATAACCCAGGACAGGTTTAGAGTCTAAACAGCGCAAATTTACAGCGCCTCTAAAGTCCCAACACCTCCCCTCCCTCGAGCTGCGCCCATTCAAACACAAGTATCTTTATTTACAGTGTATTGATTTTCAACGAGACGCACTTTATCAGGTGGCTGGACGCGCCACGTTAATCACTGTGGTTTATGATCTTGATGAGTCTGCTGTGCATTTTCCAGCTTTGTCTCAATGTTGCCTTTTAATTGGGAATTTATGCACTTAATGACGGAGAGGTGAGACTAACAGTAAGACTGCCAAAGAACAAACACATTCAGTCCCCTAGATCCTGTATATACTCAACGATTTTAGCATATCATACCATTGTTTTTTACAAATTGCCTTCTATGTTAATTAAAGTGATTTATTTCTCTCCTAAATTATTGGTTAAAGTCCTTTGATTACTGTATTAAAATCTACTTGCAGACTATTGGACATTGTCTTCCATTTTTGTCAAACATTACGTCATTTCTTTGTAGTAGCACGCAGGGGCTGCCTCATTGTTGGTGCATTCAAGGGCATCCAATTGCTCAATCTCCTGCCAAACAGCAACATTTCAATGCAACGAATGAGAAAATTATCCTTTCCAGGACATCCATATTAGCTTATTTTTCTGTCTTATGGATTCATTTTTCTGACAGCTCATGAATAAAATGCCTTTTGTCAGGTTTTAAATCTAAGATGTTGCTACATCCATTCTCCCAACTACATTAGCTTTGACAATAAATAAAGGTGGATAAATGTTCACTGTGATGGATTACCAATCTCTAGCAAGCTTTAAGTCTTGTCAAATTGATTTTAAAAACAATTGAAATGAATGAAAACAAATGTCTGTCTGGAAGGTAGAAAATCAATCTTAGAATTGATGGCAGCATTTGAAAAACACTTGGCAGAGATTATGTGATTTTCTAAAGCAATTTTTAAGCAAGGTAGCCATTGGTATGCTACAGATAAGCTTGTCATCTGAATAACTGAAATGTAAAACTACAATAAAGTTCTCACTTAATGATGAGACAGTTGATTCAAAGAGACAAAGATTGCCATCGATCCACATAAAGTTAGAAAACCACTTGTGTGAAACACAGCAACAGTCACCAAAGCTTTTACACAAAGAACATAACGCAAAAAAAGGTAAGATATCAAGGAACACGGCTAAGGTACGAGAAAAGGGAGTGCTCACTAACAGAGATGTAGAAATGAGTCTGTGCTTTAACAGTGTGTGTGTGCCTCATCAACCCTCCCTGCATGAATAAAGGTTAAAAGAAAAACCCCAACAACCCCCTCCCATGGGCGCCATGCCAGGGAATCCACTTGGAGCCACATGACCGTCTCGAATCATGCATCACCCCGGGGCGATGGTAGGCGTGTCAGTGATGGGGAGGCGTGTGCCACCCAAAGCACCCCCTCTTTATGAAAGCCTGCTAATGGTGAGGAAGACTGGGACTGGGGGTCGGGGTGTGTTACCAGGGCCCACCCGGCCCACAGGGGCGCCTCTGTTTACATGCCCTTCTGACCAAAACAAATGTAGGGGCCTTCGCCTCTGTGCTTGAACAAACAAACAAATAAAAGGGGAACATGATACAATATGGTGGAGTCGGGGGAGGGTGGGGGACGAGAGACTGAAGGGTTGAAGAAATGCTAGAGGAGAGGGAATGTAGGACAGGATAGTGACACCATTATGTCTGGACTGCAGCTGCCAACAGCTTTTACACTGATAATATTTGAATATGACCATTTTCATTCATGAATGAGACAGAAATGTAGTTGCCTTATAAAGAACATACAGTTTAAATAAGAGAGAAAGCTTACATTGGCACTTGCTATTGTTTAAATTTCTACGGTTCCCTTCATTACTATGTTTGAATGAAAGCAGTTACTTGTGAAATCAATGTCACTAAATTTCTGCCAGATACAAAGGCCAATAAAACAAAGTTAGTATGTTTATTGTCACAGTACAACCTGTAGTCACCATGTTGAGAGCCTTGCTAACTGAAAATGTTGAATTGGGATTAGTATGGACTCATGTTGCCAGACTAATGAGTTTCTTTATTAGAAATCAATCATATGTAAAAAGACAGTTAAAAAGCAGGACTGGCTGAAATGTTTTTGAGGCACTATTTGATGAAATTTGACCCTTGATTATTAGCAATAACAGTGTTCAATACCAAAGTTGCATTACCTACAGTGCTCTTAAGTATGGTTGGGGCCTAAAATTATAAACCAAAGATGGACATCTTACCTACATGCCCTTACATTTTTCCACATTACATTAACATTAAACTACTTCTTGTAACGCACACAAATCCACTCTGTACAAACTTCCAACATAATTCCAGAGATATGTGGACAGGGCACCCGTACTGACCTGCCTTATGCGCAGTCTAGTTTCTATATATTGCCCACATTTCACTCCGGCACTTGTTGTTGCAGCATAAAGACAAGGACTTTGAAAACTGTAAGGGTTTGTGTAAGACAGGAAATAAAGAACCACATTGACACAGGGAGAAAGGAGGTGTAGGACAGTCAGTGAACAAGAGTTATTGTTTGCTTGTTTAATCTAAATTGAGATGTACTGGAAATATGTTTTGCACTTATTCTTAGGCCGTGCAAAGATGATGCTATCGTGCCTGTGAAGGTCCTTGAAACTGAATTGAGACAGAGAGAGAAAACAGACACAGTGTGAGGCTGGCCGAGGGAGGCAAAAAATATTATAGTAAAAAATATCTTAGCAAGTCATTCAACCTTCTCTTCTGTCTTAAAGACTTGATGAAATGTGCAAATGTGTTGAGATATATCTACTAGTTTCCAAAGCATTTCTCATGTTTTAAGAAGTTTCATGGTGCGGCTGATGATATCTTTGAATAAGATAATGTTGCTTCAAGATAATATCTTGATTTAGGGAAAATCCAAGCAAAAAGTTGAGTTCCACTGCAATCAAGTGCAATGATCTCACCCTGCTGCAGGATAGTTTCTTCTACTTCGAGGAAAAAAGGAAGACTTTTAGGATCAGATAAAAGTTTGAATCAGATGTAAAGATAAACTGAAGGCGACGTTGTAGACTCCCATGTCGGTGACAGAGTAATCCAGGGACTGACTGACTGACTGACGGGCACCATCCGCCATCTCACCGCCCAGCGCTCAGACACGGTGTGCACGCTCCTCTGTCGACGCCTGTCAATCAATCTCTCCTTTGTCAGCGTTGGCCAATCCCATGTTGCGGTTTCACCGGGAGTGTTTGATTGACAAGCCGGGGAGCGGAGGAGCGGACAGGGGAAGGTGGAGTGGATTGGGAGGTAGCTGGTGGCACGGTGATGCGAATGGAGGAATGGAAGAGTGTGTGTGAGTGTGCAAACTGAGGCCTCAAACAAACGCGCCAAGGGCAAGAATCATTAACATGCAGTAGCTGCCGAGTGTGTGCATGCGTATATGTGTGTGTTTGTGCATGTTTATGTGTGTATGCCTGTGCGAGTGTGTGTGTGACAGCCAGTATGAGGGAGCCGCAGTAGTAAGGCCGTCAGGCAGCCTGCCGCTTCCTGTCTGCTTTAATTGCATGTAGCCCTAGAGACTGCACACACACACACACAAACACACACACACACACACACACACACCAGCCCAGGGAACCCCTCTACACAGCAGCGCTGACAAAGAGACGAGGCTTACATGGCTAAGATGGGAGCTGAACACCGAGGTCTTTCACTGAGGATGACGACGGCTCGCTGTCGAGACTCGATAAAGATGACAGAGGAAGGAGAATCAACTGGAAGAGCTTTGGGAGTTTGGGCTGAGTAAACCTCCCAAGAATGAGCAACACAAATGTTTTTGTTAGCTATTAATCAGATAAATAATGCGTAAACACAGTCTAACGTGTGAATTTTAATTAGCATTTTCCAATTAGAGGCTTAATGCGAATCTCGGAGGCAAGTAAGCGTGAAGATAAGTTTCTCACACTGAGGAAAAGCAAATATTTTATGTATAATGTTAAATGTGTATAGCTGAAATGTCAGCCTGTCATTGGACATGTTGAATGTCAGACTTTCAGAAACAGTAGTTAAATCATATTTCTCATATTTCAGTTTCCATCTTCTCCCTCACAATAGATCTTTATGCAGAAACGTACGTCATGACTCCTCAGAAGTCCCCGGTGATGAGGTAAACCTCTAACGCAGCAGCACAGTCTATTTCAGGAGTTAAAAATCCCCGGAGAAGAGCATAAAATGTAAGCACTTAGGGGATGGGCTGGGCTCATTATAAAATCAATGCTCACAGGACCACTCTCATTTAAAAACATGGTGGGGAAAAGGTCAGGGAGAGAGAGACGGAAAAAATCTCAATCTAATTCTTTGCTCAAAAAGCCACTTAATATTGGATTCTGTAAATTAAATTTCACACCCCGCTATTCCGGCCAAAGGATAATTACAGCAAACAGAGGGGGGAATGGAAATGACTGGAGGTGGAAAACCTGTTGGATTGGTGATACTGCTTCATGTCTCAAACAACAAATTACAGCAGGGGACTAAGTACAGTCAGCCTTCACCACACAGCATCAATCTAGTAACATGGTGGCATAAATAAAAAAAAACTGAGGTTGAGTCTCACACTTCCACAAACATGGGTTGGTTTGAACCCCACGAGCAATCCCAAAGTAAAAGTTTTTAGCCACCAGCACTAGAAATGTACTTGAGTTAAAAGAAGGCACTTTATCTAAAAGCATTGCTATTAAGCTGCTATTTGTTGGACTAAAAATTGTTTGTTTTACATACATTCACAGTAAAATAAGCTTGTAAATGTATGTATTTATAAATAGAGAATCAACATCTGGTATGAATCTGATTTTAAAAAGCAAAAACAAAAACATCAAATACAAATCTTTTCAAAGTCACAGATGGCACAGTAGCACCTCCTACCTGATAGGTGGCGGTAGCATCGCTGGTAGTATCTGTTCCCAGATTGGTGAGCTTCTCCTTGAGCTTGTGGTGGGAGCGGTGGCGGAGGCAGTAGACCACGGTGGAGGCCAGCAGCACACCAACGATGCACAGGATGGACACGACAGTGAGGACGAGGAACTTGGTCGACTCCGCCTGGCTGTATTTGGTGGGGATCTGGTTGATCTGACTTCCCTGTGGGCCACAAAAGAACAGATGAAAAGGGTTAATAATATGTTTCTATTACTAGTTTTTATCTGAGGTGAGTGGTTCCCTGTGCAGCTCAATGGGTAGAGCGTGGTACTCTCACAGGCAAGATAAGAGTTTTGATTCGCCTGCAATGCTAAAAATGTCTGCGCTTGTGACGGTAGCAGGTGCTTTGGAATAAACTACAAGGGTGTAAAACTATGTACCTAAAAGTGATCATCAGGCAAATTCACTGATCAATCAGACAAGAAGAATTAATCTGCACAACAGTGTTTGACTGGAAAAAGCCTGCAGACTCTCAGTGCTTCCTGGCACATGAGATTGATACCCCTGGATTAAAGCTTCCACCAAATGGTCCAAAAACATTTGACAGTAATCTATCTGAACCCCCTTAAAAAGCTTTAATTATTTTTGCTTCCAAAGATTTCCCCCCCAAAAAATGTTTGTTCCAACATCAGTAGATGAAAGTGTAAATCACATGGCTCTTTTCTTTCCTTTTTTGGAAAGACATAAATATGCATATCACTGTGCTCGATGAAAAGTATAATCACAAGCGTTTGTTCCACCATCTGTGCCCAGGAGTGCATAGAATGCATAAACTCCTGTTTAGGAAGGCATTCTGGATGTGCCTCGACAGCTCAACACGCCGTTTGCTATATTGGAGGAATTCTCCACCACTGTGAATGGAGGCAACAGACGTTCCGCCGTTTTGAGCAAGTGCCTCGCCAATTTCGACCTCAGCAGCACTTTAATCCAGCGCGTGAGAACCAGATCCTTCAGCAAACAACTGGAAGATGAAAGATTTCTTTTCACACAGTCTGCTGCCTAAGATAACACAATGGACACATACTGTACGACAAAAGTCTCTGTTTGAACTGCTTCTTGAGTGTGTAAAAACCACCACGGCGGTAATTTGTGCGAGGGGAAGTAAGTCTTATTGAACGTTAAGAGCTGCAGCTCCGACTGCTGCTTGCTGTTCATTTTCAGACACCAGCGAGCTCAAGATAATGGGCCTGTTGCGTTCTACCTGACTACTAAGAGTTAACAATAGGCAACATAATTCCCCATTATTACACACTGCGTAATGATCTTGACAACAAAAAGCGAAGCAAGAAGTAAAAGAGAGGCGCTACAAATTGCACTGCCAATGACAAGGCCTACAATTCCTCCTGACAGAGAATTATCAAAAGAAATCAATCGCAAAAAAAAGCTTTTTCTTTACTCAAATGTTTTTCACATCTTTTTTAACACAGTAGAAGATAAATTCCCCCCTTTTACTGGTTCAGAAATGTACCGGCTTACTACAGCTCGTCACTAGCTCGCCCTGATAGTAATTCTATGCTGCATACTAAGTTTGTTTGGTATCATTTTTGTGCCAGAGAAAAGTGCTGAGAAAAAGGTGCTCTCAACCTCACAGAAAGGCAGCAGGCTTGTCTTGAGGGTAAAAAGAAGGAGGGGGGTGAAAAAAAAATCCCTGTCCCTCGGTGGTGGAGGTCACAGAGATTAGGCGAGGTGCGGCGTGGTGAGTTAATGGAAAGGAGGCTTTGAAAGCGGTAGGGAGAAAGGGGGCAGCCTTGTCGAATCCCTCCTGCCTGCCTGTCAGCACAGAGAAACCCTGAAACCCTGGGAGGTGGGAAAAAGGGCCGCTCTACCCTGCACACGGATTGTTCTGGAATTCTTGTGAGGTTTCAGGGAGTGACCCCCCTCCCACCCGACCAAACCACCACCATCACCACTTGATGATGCCCCTCCTTGCCACCCCACCCCCTATGATTTCATTCATTGCTGCTTCTGCATTCAGCACCTGATAAAGAGTGCCTGCAGAAAGACCCACAATGGGGGACAACAGTTGTCCGATGCTTTGTGGGGTGTCCAATTTGCTTGGGGAGCTCTAAGCCGTACTGTAAAAGCTGGTTGCATAGTAATGTGACGGCCCTGAAAGGAAACAGTGGGCGTCTCTGACTGGGGCGCTGCACTGAACACCATTCTCCCAGTGCTCGGAAAAATATATTTAATAATAAAGCGGAACAAAAAATGTGAGAAATTCAGCACTGAAGTGCAGAAACATATAAAAGATTTATCTACTAGTAACTGCAAGTTACTACTGAGGCTGTTCATAAATCAGTAATAAACAAAATGCAGGGATTCTGTTTATGTTACATTTGTATAGCTGCATATATTAATTTTGCACCAGACATCTATAAAAGCAGATGCAATTGATTGTAGTTTGGCTGTGTATTTTTAATGTTTCTTTTCATTAATGTGGCCTTAATGTAAAAGATCGCAGCAGAAATATCGGCCGTTAAGGAAGCATCATAAACAAAAGTAGCTGAGCAGTAGCCTGTACGCGTTGTGGGCTTGGCAAGGCCATTAATAATGCATTACTGCTGATTCCACATGCTTCCACTGCAATCATCTTTTGCAAAATGTATTTTTTTTTTCTTTTTTTTTTTTTTTACCACGAATCAAATAACTTCATTTGTCATTTTACTCCCCGAGTCATCTCATTGTTTTGTCAAATTAAGTTTCATGGAGAGGGATTGCATCTTGCTCGGCTAGTAATGGCCCATAATTCAAGGCTCTAACTGTAACAGCTCAGTCATCTTTCACAGGACAGATGCCGGCGTTTCCAAAGCACTCCCCCCCTCCTCTCACACACACACACACACACACACACACACACACACACACTGATTCCACCGCCACTCTGCTCTCTCTATCATGGCTGCCTAACATGTCTGTCTATTGATTCAAACAAATGTAGCCTGACCCCACCTGCTTAATCAAGTTTGGTTGCAGTTGTTAGTAACAGCAAACGGGTGGAGCAGTGTGTGTGTGTGTGTGTGTGTGGCTGAGTGTGAGAGAGTTAGAGAGGGAGAGAGAGAGGCTGGGGGGTGTATGACTTGTTAGTTTGCAGCTATGAAAAACGAGCAGCATTTGTGCTCGCGCTGCAGAGGCAGATGTAGCAGAAATGTGCAATGATTGAAAATCAAATGTTTGCTCAGGACGGGAGGTGGAACGTTCACACATAAGCCAGTGCATGCAGTCATTACTGTGCAGAGGACTGTGTAACCTTTCCAGCAACGCAGCATGAAACCCAACACTGTTGAATAGCTACAGTGTATCTGCATGGCGATTCTTATTCCTGTCATAAGTGTGTCACCTACACTGTTTCCGATAATAAGAGGCTATCTGTGCGGCTCTGCAGCTCTAAGGCCTTTCTTGACTCTCCCTCCTGTGGCTTAACACTTTCAATCAAATTACATGTTGAGGGCTGCGACCGGTAAGGTGAACTGCAGCTCAGCGGAGAGAAATTAAAGGAAATCTTTGCTGCTGGTACGATTGTAGGAGCAGAAAAAGAAAAGGAATAATCTGTGACAATAATCAGTATGACTCTTGTGTTGATTTCGTCGCTAAAAGGAACACAGCCAGAATGAAATAGCACTCCAGACTTCAATCTGGACCATTCCTGGCTCAGATGTGAATTTTTTTTAATCATATGACGCACGAAAAAAAAAAAACCCACAGAAAATCCTGTTTGTTTCTGGAGGAAAATCAGACGTTTCGATCAAGTCTGTTTCAGTGAGCGGCAGAAAATGAAGGGAAAATATTGCCTCCCCAAAGGCAGAGGGGAGAAGGGAGTTCCTTTCATGCCTCCACCTCTATTGTCCATCTGGCCCAGCAAAAAGCGATTGTACTTGCAAATTTTTTCATTTCACATAGGCAAACGTGATTTGACATACAGTGTGTGCCGCTCCTGCTCACTGAGTATTTCTGAAAAGCATTAACATAGCCCGTCAGGGATGCTGGCTGTCTGGCTGTATACGCTGCTGGGCTCAGCCCTTTTCAGCAAATATCAGACACACTCCCTACAGACAGACAGGCGTCTTTGAACAGGAGGAATAAAAAAAAAAAAAAGAATAAAAACCCTCAAAAAGAGAGGGGAAAGGATTGTATCGTTACAGAACATTTTTGATGTTTTTTTTACATTTCTCCTGAGTTCTGCATTAAAATCTGTTTCCCTTTGACCACCTCTTTCAACGCTCAGTGTGATGTGTAGGTTGGACTCGAAATTCAGAATAATCTGCTCTGCAGCTGTTATCACGAAAGAAAATGTCAATGAAAAAATTAGAATTCTGTTTTTTAAAAGTGCAGTAATCCTGTGCTGGAAACAAACGTGTGTGTAGCTTTTGGTATCTGGATTTGAGATGGAGGTTTGGTGGTGGAGGGGTTGGTCTCCTGGTTGGTGTGTGTGTGTGTGTGTGTGTGACAGGGTGTATCTGAGTGTGTGTGTGAAGGGGGGTGTGGATTATCCAGGCTCCCATAGACAAAAGGCAGATGGATTTGCACGGCTCTGGCTTATTCAGAATGGGTGAAAAAAGGTCAGAGGGAGAGCGGCGGCCGGCTATTGTTTTCCTCCACGACGACTGCTGTAGGAAACAAAGGTCTGTCCCTCACCTCTGATTCATCCCGGGCCTTTGAAAAAGTTCAGCCGGGGTTTTAACAAAACCTTTCAGCAAACAAGCACACAGAGACGCACACACACACACACACACACACACACAGCTGCACACGTAAGTAAGTAGAACTATTTACACAGGCTGACATACGCAGAGGGATTTTACATTTGATACACTCACATCTGCAGGTGCACACTTGTACACACTTGCATGTAATTTTGCACACACCCCTCAAACAGTGTACGTGCTTGCACTAATGTGTGCACACACAAATGCACATGCACCGAAGCAAAAGTCCACACACACAAATTGTAAAAAAAATAAATAAAAAACTAACAACATGCTATAAAATACCCAAATTCATTAATTCAATAAGGTTTTTTTTACCAATATAACAGAATAACAATTCATTTAAATGTTTTTCTTTTCCCTCATACCTTTGCCAGACAAAACAGTGGGAATCAATTTCTCAGTGATATCACACACTGCATACAAATTAGGATACTCCTCCAAGTTGAAAATCACTTG